ATATAGAAGTCGTCCTCCAGTTGGACGTAGCAGTTTCTTACACAGCTAATCTTTTTAATTTTTTCAAGGATGTCAAATCAATTAATATCATATTAGACAATGGAAGTCCGAACTGAACTGAAATGCACCACGGAACATTGTCAACCACCTTCAAACAAAGCAACAAAAGGCCTTTGTAGTTGTCTCTCTCGAAACAGATATTGATGACAAAAATCCATGAATTTGATATATTTTCGTGCTATGAGTGGAACATGAAAGAACTACATACCATGGTTTCATTCAAGTCCTGATTGAGGAGTACAAGAAGACACATTTTTGACCTTTTTTCCGAGTCAACCGTTGAAATCCCGGTTATGTAATAATAATTAGTAAATATCGACATTTGACCCATTTTGAATTTCACAGCGTTGTTTAACTTTTGTTCAAAATGTTTATTGTCATGCATTATTGAATACCGATAAACTGCAGGTCTCCATGCGCGCTGCCATTGAAAATTCACAGATACACTGATATCATTCGAAAACCCTACTCTGAGAATTACGAGCTTGGTGAGCCTGTTACATAGATTCTTTGTTACCTTTTAGCGAGTGCTTGGTATCTCGAGATGTTCATATGTTTTAGGGTTATTTTATGGTGAGTATAATTCACTGTTCACTTCACTTTGAAAAATACTTCAAAACAAATTGCAAATTCTCAAAAAAACACCTTTTTCAAGCTACACGATGGTGTTTTCAGTTGTTTTATGTAACGTTATGTCTCTCGACCACCAGCATCAGCTTTTTATAGGAGAGTCATATCTGATTTCATTATTTTGAAAGCCCTTGATTTGCACCTTGTATGATTCACACAGATCATCCTTGTTTATACAATATTTTGAATCGTTATTGTAATGTTTTTCTGCAGTAGTAGTAGAAATAATATTTTCAAGAATCACTATAGTCATTCAAAATGAACTCCTTCAATGAAGAAAACTGCAAGATGATTCTTCCTTCTTGTTTTTCCTCTTTTAATTTTGTCGTTCCAGTTCTTCTCTTTTTACGGTTGTTCATTGTTGCAATTGTTTTTGCAATAGTTATCAATTTATTCATTTATTCTCATACAGGTGTATCCTAATTAACTAGATAGACAGTTGAGATAGTTATTATAAATTTTGTAACATATTGCGATTATTATGTATAACCTTCTATTCTCGAAACTTCTATTCTTTCCTGAGATCACACAATAATAAATCTGGGTAGACTCCATATGTCCTAGAATATAAATGCCGTAGTATTCTATTTTGATTTTTTTTCCTAATTATTTTTATATATGAAATGACACGGGTGCCAAACGACTGCACAATATACGAATTTTGGGTCTCACCAGAGCGTTATATATCCTAATGATTGATTAGTAATATCTTCAATTTTTACTTTGCCTCAAAACAAAACCCAAACTTCGTAAACCCTGCGAGACTACTATTTCAATGTGGTTTTTGAAAGACAGGGTTGAGTCATATCGTAACCCCAAATCTTCAACATTACTTACTCGCGCCAACGTGGTATTTTCCATTTCATATGCATAGTCTATTTTTTCTCTATTCCTTGTGCAACTCATTACAGCACATTTTGACGTATTGAATGGTAACTTATTTTTCACACTCCTTCGGTAAACGTTTTCAATATCCTTTTGAAGCTTACTAGAATCTTGAACACAATCTATTTTTCTATAAAATCCAAGGTCATCTGCAAAGAGTGAAAAATTTGAATATTCAAATTATGCTGGTAGATCATTAATAATAATAGGAAACAGTAGAGGCCAAAGATTTAACACTTGGGGCAGTCCTGAGTTTGACCTGTACTCATCTGAATAGTTGGTACCAAATTTTACTCTGAATGTTCTCTTGTCTAACTATAACGCTGAAAATTTCATAGTTTCTTCAGTAGCTCCACATAGAGAAAGTTTGTTTACCAATATGTCATGATTTACTTTGTTGAACGCCTTCTGGAAATCAGTGTATGTCGCGTCGATCTAAGTAGAATTTTCCAGACTCTTAAGAACGTTATGACTGAAAAATAAAAGATTTGTACAAGTTGACTTCTTTGGCACAAAGCCGTGCTGTTTTTAATTTACTAAATTATTCACTTTGTGCTACACAGCATATATTGTCTGTTCGAACAATTTACCAGGAGCAGATAGCACAGCAATTGGCCTGTAATTTACCATAAGTGAAATTTTCCCAGATTTGTGTATAGGGGTTACGATAGCACGCTTTCATCGTGATGTGATATATATATATATCACATCACGATGCAGAATGGTATTTCCATTCGGTATTTGGTAAGCAGGCCATGATTACTATTTGACAGTAGCGTTGTGACATTCTCCTAATAATATCGAAATTTTCGTCACTTCAGAATTTGCAAATACCTTCAAAACGATGGAACAAAACTATTCAAACGAAGTTCTTATGAATTTGTTTATTATTTTTGGACAGTGTGACAAAATTATCAGCAGAACATGTAGAAAGTTCAATGAAATGTATCCGAATCTACCGCCAATGAACCTCAAGAAATTTATACGAATTCAGAACAATTTCAAT